ATTCGTCCTTGATGCAGATATTGGGATTCCTCTGTCTCTTATACACATCTAGATGTGTATAAGAGACAGCCATTCATTAGATTGGAGGAGGGGGAGTACTGTTAATAAATAATCTTTTAACAAGATTTTGGAAGACAATTACTTGATTTTATCATTCGGTTATACTGGTTTTAATAGTTCAAAATATATAAAGCAAGAAGCCGAAAACCTCATACAGTACATGAGCAATAAAATGCAACATGTTATAACGGTAGGCCTCAGTTACAATTCCGGTATTACATTGAGATTGGCATCATCTATATTAGACTATAAGTTTCAGTGGCGGATCCAGGAATTTGAAATAGAGGGGGCCCGGAGAGGGACTTTTACAGGTAGAGGGTCTAAACTACCTCAGCCCCACCATGGTTGTTCTTTACAGATACAGAAGCACTAATAGTGTTATTGAAATGAAACCTACATCACCGCCTCTGGCATCGTAAGCTACGGCTGCACGTCCACCAAAGTCATTATGGGTTGGGTTGATGCCAGTATCGATGACGTAGATATTGGCACCACTACCGGTTCCTAAGAATAAATATATATCAACATAAATCATGCTCACATAATAATACATATAATAATGTGTGTATGGTAGTTAATTTTCAATTTTACTCAATATCGACTTTGTTGAGTTACAGGCCTTACTGATATCAAATATCTCAGTGTCTTACCGCTGACAGAGAATCCACCATCCAATGGCAGATTCCTTTGATCGACACGATCCAGGCCCCATGTGACAGCGCTAGCTCTGACAATACTATCTTCTTCTACGTACTCGATCTCATCAAGGTTTCGGACCTGTAATAATTCACAAACATTAAAGATGTGTATAAGAGACAGTATATATACTGTATATATATACTGTATATATAAATACATATATATAAAATATATATATATTATATATATACAGTATTATATATATAATACTGTATATATATAATACAGTATTATATATATACAGCATTATATATATATATATACACAGTATATATATATATATAGGCCTATACTTTATATATATTGACATGTGTTCCTTTATTCAAGCACTGTTTCTACCATTATATTCATATATGTATAAATCATCAAAAAAGGGAAATACAGTGTTCGAATAAGTATGTTTTTATATTATGATTTATATTATGGGCCTACACTTTTTTTTATAAGAACAAGTAAACTGTTTTCCCAGGCTCAGGCTACTTATTTTTATGCCGATTATATTACCGTACTGGTACATAGAGGGTTTAACATAATATAATCACGCCTACTGCAAATAAGGTACAAATGAGATTTGTTAGTTTTTATTTATAAATAAAGACCTTATCAGAAATTTTACCTCAGCCTCAATTGTTCTTTTCAACCTCTGTGAAATAAATAAGCTGTGTAATAAACTTAGTATATTTTCTCCATTATGGTTTGACAGTCTTTTCTATTTTTTTAAGTAGCTTAAGTCTGCACACTAACTATCTTTAATGTTACTGTACCTGTTTTGTCTTTTTTGTTTTATTCTATATTCTTTCTCTTTCTTTTCTTGTATGTAGCTAACTGAGAAGCAATGGTTCTGTAAAACAAAAATAATATTTGTGATATGTAGGCCTACCTGAAATATTTCCATAGGTATGGTCGCTACTAGGACCAGAGTATGCTCCACCAGTTGACCCTTGCCACTGGGTCCAATCAAAATTGTCCGAAGGATAATACCATTGCTTAAACGTACAATTACTTCCCGTCTCAAAATCGCACGAAAATACCTCTGAAATTCATAACACAGAATATTAAATCTTTGTACTTGTTCACATAAAATGTTTTATTTCATCGCAATTGAGCACTATACACAGATTGCATTCTGCCTAAACGGATATTATGGTGAGGTAGGTTATTAACGATGCCATTAGCCATGTCTTGCCAGGCATCACCGATTATAATATTATTCATTATTGTATTTAACATTCTATTATTCATAAATTATACGCAAAAGACGGTCAAGGACGTATGCACGTGTGCGAATAAAACTTGTCTTTATGATATACTGTACATGCTCTCTAGCTGTTATTTTATTGCAGCATGAAGAAAGAACATAAAATGAAACACATCGCTGCCCCTGATAATAGTCATACTCTCTTGTTAAAAAATAATAAAATGGACACAATTTTCCATGGGAATTTGTTACAGACGTACAGGAAGGCTTACACTACCGTGTCGAAACAACAGGGCGATTCAAGTTTATTCGTGCAACGATTTAATTATACACTTCGAGATTCGTGTTGTTTATTACTTGATTTGAAGGACAGTACTTGAATGGTGATTGCACTTGTGTTCACTTACAATGTAAATGTGGATACTCCAATGTAAGAGCACCAATAATAATATACCAGGACATAACTGAAAAAGAGATTATAACTGTACGCCTTTCAATGAGATACTATATACTGCTAGATATCCTCTTGCATCACTTATAAGTCTTATTACACGACAAGATAGAAGGGTATTGGTTTTTCCTCAACACAAAACTATAAATTTATATTATACAGTAATAACGTGGTTGGTACGTAATGACTAGTGGTACATTACCTAGTATGAAAGGAACATGCACAGTATGATGATGAAATTGTTATAATTCGACTTGGGACTTGGTTAGGTTTTTATTTACGTGAGAATGCCCAGCCAGCGGCGAAGTTGATTCGAAATCGTTGTGAAATCATGCAAGCATAAATTAGAAAAAAGGACAACAACCTCTTCCCCACATGGGGAAGATGATATGGGGAACTCCGAATATTCGGTTCTATTTCATCGATCAAAGTAAAAATTCCTGTGTAGAAATTATATGTTTTCTGTGGTAAAGTCATTTAAACAGAAATCTATAAATGAAATAAATATAGAGTAGCTCCATACTTAAACCATGCTTTATGATTTGACAGATAAGTGGGTATTGATTTGCGAATTGTATGTCCATGGAGGTTGCTAATAATATAATACTGATGTTTAGGCCTATTTATAGAGCTTAGGCTTAAGGAAGTAGAGAGCCTACAGGGTATTTCGCCCGTAAGACAAAGAGGATTGAGAGTATCAAGGGCATGTTCAGCCTTATAATGTTGCTGGTACTACTGTTTGGACAGCTGCATCATTTAAGAAGATGTAGATATTATGTAGGCCTACTTCACATACAACACTATCTTCATGATCCGGCCGACCCACCACGACAGAGAGCATAGACTGCACATGTACCTTTCCTTATCCTAAACTAAAATTTGTCAATCATAACTTGTGAAAGTCTGTCTTTTCTTCAAAATGATTTAGATAGTATTTACAAAATATTATTAAACATTAACATTTTATTTTTGTTATTTTACTCATGGATTTTTGTTAAAGTAATGTTGCTTACCATGGAAATACTGTAAACAAAATAAACAGATTGAGGTGAATTCCAAATACTTTATATCTACTGTATACTTTATTCTATAACTGATTATATACACGGGGAAAAGGCAAAAATAAACAGATTTAATATAATAAATAGGATCATTCGAATATATTATTACCATTATATATAGTTACAGTTATGGCCTTTTATGGAGATGCGGATGAAAGAAGGAGGTACAGACAGTACTAAAGACGCAGAGAGGAATGACTATACGTTGCTTACATTTACATAAAGCAGAATATTGATTCACAAACAGTAAAGCCTTAATACAGTGCCATATTGAAGAAAACATTTTTTAAAATTGTTAAATAATCATAAAATTATAAATTGCTACACATATGCTTGCTCAGTGTTTACCATGATAGATTCATAATTGGATGATTGAATTGGAGGAGGAGCTCACATATACACACACAGAAAATGAACGGAATACTCACGCTCGTAACATAACACGTTCTCAATCAACCACGATGAAAATAGCAGCACGAAAATGATAATGGCGTACAACTGCTTAACAAACAACAGCATAGTAAGTTACATTCGTATTCTTGCACGAATCTATTTTGCATCACAATTTGATGTAGAAAACGCGTGTGCAACAGTTGTAGGGTAACATAAGTGAACGTTGCTGACGGCTCAAAAACAGTTATCGACTAAATGCAGTCGCTCACTGAGGAGCCTCTTCAAATCAGCTTAGCTTACAATCTATCATGCATAATGCATGAGTTAAGGTTCACTGACCACGGTTTAGTCAGTGCAGTATAAACAAGCTTTATAAGAATTTGTTTCTAATGTACTGTATGGCCAGATCAATAATAATATTTTTTTTCTCTCTCAATACATTTTCTGCCCAGTCCATTAATTCATTCATTTCAAATATAGTATTTCCAGTATTAATAATTTCACCTGCCCCTTGCTCAGTATTTAATGGATTGAATAAAAAGCAAATATTACTTGAAAAGAACTTTTTTTTAAAATAGAGTTACAGTACGAGCAAAATATAAGAGTATATTCCAAATAATACATAAATATAAGGCCAGAATGTAGCAACATTTCTAACTATATACATTCAAACAAAAGTAATAAATATTAAGGTTAAAAAACAAATTATATAATATCCAATAGAAAATGTAGTCATTCATTGTAATCACCTACATTGATAATAAATTTGTTTACTGTAGGCCTATGCAGGTTAGTGATTGATCGTATTATTAGGAAAGCAATATTATTATATTTTATTTCTATGCAATATATAGGCCTATCCTATAGAAAAATATATAATTTATATATAAATAAACAAGCATGAAAATAAGCCGCCATTTTGCTCTATAGATTTTATTCTATATATTATTATACGTCAACTGATATTTTATTTCTTCATATTTATTTTTTTTAATTATTTCTATATGTTTTTATATGCCTTGTTTAAAAAAAATTAATTTCTTACTTTCATGCTTTATTATTACTATTATTATTATTATTATTATTATTATTATTATTATTATTATATATATTATATATATATATAATCTGCGTGATTAGTTTAAACCAGATCATGAAGACGAAAGTGCTCAATGCACACGTAGAGCAATATAAATAAGTAATCAAAGGCACTATGTTACAAACTCAACATTTTATTTTGCACTACAGATTGTTTCATGAGGGCCCAGTCTTCTGTTTCTACTGAAATACCAAACTTAAATAACAATAGCCTATCTCAGATCCATCTATTAAACAAAAGAGAGTCCAGTACTAACTAATTAACATAGCATACCGTATTCTTTATAAACATTTTGTTATCATTCAACATTTTCTTTATCTACAGTACTTCATTATTCCGAGTAAGCTTCATTCAGAGTCGAGCACCTCATGATTGCGTCTGTGCCCTGATGAAACAGTCTGTAGTGCAAAATAAAATGTTGAG